TTAAAGACTCGAACCGAAAACAACGCAACCTCGAAAATCTAACGACGCACAGTGAAAATTAGTACTAATTAAGCAGCGACGCAACTTCGAAAAAATGCAAAACGAAACGACGCAAAGCGAGTTATTGGTGTATAGGATTCGAACGTTCATCGTTTATCAATCTACGGATCAAAGGGACCGCGGCTGGAAATGATTGATCGCGATCTGCTAGGAAATTTCCATCGGGACTTAATTTTTCGTAATCACAGTCGGTCCTTTATCGCGGTTTGCCCGTCAGTTCTTCCCGGCTGTCCCTTGTACCGCGTGCAATAACCGTGGGGAAAAGAACGAAGCCACAAAGGTCTGTTTCCGGAATCAGTACAGCGACTTTAAGGACAGGTTTAGCTTTGACCGTTTATCGCCCGCCCGTCCAATCGCTGGACGCGCTTAGCCGTCCGTCGAGCTTCCTATCGGCGTGCATCTGTAAGTGAAAAACGCGTTGTACATATACACACACACACACACACACACACACACAAAGGAACTACGTTTTCCTTTGTGACCGGAAGCTCTCTGGACGGTAAAAGGGAACCCTTCCTTTGCGTACGATAAACTAAAACGGAGAATTAACCCCCGTCAGTGAATCGCATGAGACACTCGATTCTACCGTCTCTCTCGCAGTTTCATAAAAGCAACTAACTAGTCTCAAACGGTTTGTTACGCCCGCTTTCTTACTCATCGCGCTCGCTACGGATTAACGGCGTAGTAAATAGAAATTGCCACGGGGCGAAAGGAGAATAATTCTAGCGTGCCACATGACCAACGGACTGTTACGAATTAACCATTTTCCTACGGGAAAAGTGGCAGCTGTACAGTTCGCGAGGGCATCAGCTGCGTTACAGAGCCTGCGAGCAGGAAATTAGATTGGTCGCCGTGGACAGACGCGTTGATAGCGTTCATTCTTCCCCGTGATAACGAGAAACGAGGTCAACTGACTTGCTTCGTTTGCCTCGCGAGATCGCGCGGTGCTCACGGCATTAGGTACGGCCAAAAGAATTTCGAGCCCGGTCGTTCGATTCGGTTCGCTTCGCTGGACAATCGAATCGCATCCCTTCCAGCGAATTCTCGTTCCCGTTGTCGGTCCAACGCGAAGCTATTCGAACCTTCGCATCGTGCAACCTCTCGTGCATCTTCTCTTCTTTTTAATCATACCTTCTGTTCTACTTCAGTTCTTATCTCCCCGCTTTAAGGAATAGTTGACGATAAACGAACACATTAATCGATTACTCCTATGATATTCGAGATAGTAGAAAATTGTATACGACCTTTTTTCCAGGTAATAGTATTATTTACAGCTAGTAACAATGAAATTGAGCCAGCTACGTGCATGTGTTAGTTCCTCCTAGGGGACAAAATTCAAAACGAGTAATAAGTTTACGTCTTATTTTTTCAATGCTCGATTTGACATCCATACTTTTGACGCGTCAAAATAAAAAAAATTTTAATGTACAGCTAGTAACAACGAAATTGAGCCAGCTACGGGCACGTGTTAGTCTCCCCTAGAGGGACAAAATTCAAAACGAGTAAGAAGTCAAAATATTATTTTTTCGATGCACGATCTCGCATTGATATTGTTTGATTTTAACATAATTTTGACGCATCAAAATAAAAATTATGTTAACGTACACACATTACCACCATCTACATTAAAATTCTTTTTATTTTGACGCGTCAAAATTATAATAAAATCCAATAGTACCTATGTCAGATCAAGCATAGAAAAAGTAAGATGTATACTTATTACTCGTTTTGAATTTTGTTCCCTAGGGGAAACTAACACATGCACACAGCTGGCTTAATTTCATTGTTATTAGCTGTACAACTTTTATTCGAAGGATATTTCGATATTTTGAGAAGAAGAAAATTTTCTGTATCTCTTCGTCTGTGTATTCTCGTCAGGTTTTTCTCACCCCGGTTTCCTTCATGCCTGTTTTTTCAATTGGCAGGCTGTTACCAGATAGTTACGAAAGCAATTCGCGTTCAATTCCCGAGTATTTATTTACCCTGTCTATCGTAATGTTTGCAAAATAGTAGCATCGTTTAAGTAACAGCTCTCTCCTCGGTCAAACTTTGCTATGGACTATGTTTACCTTGAGCGCGTGCTACCGTTCAGGAAATGCACCGGAATCGCGTGCACCCAATCCTCTCGAATCGTGGTCGGCACGCGAATGCACGGTTTGATTAGGGCGGAATTGTTGATTTCCGAGACAACGTGCAACCCTATCTGCAACGTGACTTCAAACGTTCCAACGTTGTCCTTTAGAAACGTTAGAAGAAGTATCCTTGACGAAATCATTCTAAAACGAATTCTATCGTCTATCCAGACCCACCGCTTCTTAGATTGTAATAGCGTATAGAATATGCCTCAAATCTTAACACTTTATCGGCCGTTAGCCTATTTTTCGGCTTTTCGATTGCCAACGCTTATCGACCGCTAGCCTATTAAAGATGTATTGGCTATACAGTCAATCCCAAAAGTTTATGTGCCTTAGAAAAACGCATT